GCCGTTCCCTGCGCCGACGCGCCCGACTGCCCGCCCAGAGTTTGGGCGCGTTCGTAGACGAGCATGTACACTTTCATATTCTCATCCGCTTGCCAGAGCGCAGTGTCCTCCGGATGTTCCACGACACTCGCCTCTTCGTCATCTCGCAGCAACCGCTGCTCCTGGCCATCCACAGAGCTCGCGCACACGGATACAGAATGCCCCTTTCGCGACGTTTCCCCGCGATGAAACACGCAACTCCGCAGTGCGTAGATGGCTCCTCCAACGCGCACCTGCCGACATGGCCTCACATGGCGCGAGTGGAGAATCTCCCTCCCTGCACGCGCGTCCCAAGTCCATCTTTTCAATTGCACCCGCAAAACTCCCGGCGCCCTCGTCATCCGCATCCTCTCTTCCGCGGAAGCATGGCCGCACGCTTGTGGACACTCCCACGTATAATCTCCATCTATCTTCGACGCTCGATTGGCCTCATCTATCGCGTCCTGCGCAGTGGTGATCCGGGCGCCCCCGCAGGTCAGCACTGGCACCTCCACGCAAGTCCGCGGTCGCAGCTCCTCCACGCCAATCTCTCCCTCACAGAGCGCGCCCCCGCAATGAATCGATTCTGTGTTTGCGTAGCAGAAAGGCACGGCCACCACCTTCGCTCGGTCGGGGTCCACCAGCTCCATCAGAAACTCATGCGCATCTTCCTGTGCTCGGCGATAGAACACCTTTGCGACCGCCGTGGCAAGAACGGGCCGGCTCCGCAAGTCGCCTGTCAAATCGCTCAGGGCGGCCCCGAACAGAGCGTCAAAATCTGGCTCCTCCGGGCGACTCTGCCCACCGCCCCGCCCCCGCTTGTGATAACGCCACCAGTCCCAGCACCTCGCAGGCGCCGACGGGGCTGACCGAACCGCATCCCGCGCGATGCGCGGCGCCAGCACCGCGTGTAATGCCGCGTTGATCCAGCAGTAGTTCTCCGGATTCTGCAACCGTTTCAGCGGGGGCGTCGCTATCGGTTCACCGTGGCGCCCAGTTTCCGAGGCTTCCGCCACGGCCGGCCGCGCGTGCCAACTTCTCCCAATAACCGCAACCATTGAGTCCGCACTCCAACGTGGCGCCATGCAGCGTCGTCTGCGTCAACGCCACGCACGCTTCCAACGTTTCACAATGGAAATCGCCTCTCCAATTGCGAAGGCCATTCCGCGCAGCGCGGGGCCCCAACTTGGCACACAGGCACAGAATTGCGAGCACGGGACTCTCATCCACGCTGGAGGAACCAACAGCAACATCACCACCGCGGCCGACAACCGCACCAAAATGAACACCGTCGAACAACTGGACAGACGGACGCGCGGAAGACCTCCCAGACAGACAGACGGGATGACGCTCGGAGACACAGATCAGCAAACGGGCAAGCACACACACAGTTACAAATCTGCGGTCGCGGCACCTTTCTATACGCAGATGACAAGCCATATCGCAAGAAAGACCGAGACTACACGGAGAGCACATGTTCATAATTCGCGATGGTGACGCCTCTCCAGAGAGGCACGACGATCGACGACGGCGGGAATTCCCTGTGCACCTGAGACACTCTTTAAACCATGGCCATGAGGACGCCCCTTCTGACTCATGCGAAAAGTCTGAACTCCCTCTCTCAGTGAACCGACAAAGAGGCCACATGCTCCAAAATGGCCAGGGCCGCACTTTGCCAGAAAACTGCGGGAAACACGATTGCCAACACTGCACATTCAGGAACGTATGGACGTCATTAAGAGTCACGAATGGTGCCACCATGGTCCGTTCGACAGAGTACACGGCGCAAACATTCCAGCCTCTGTTCCAAAGCTCGTGGGTCACGTGACGTTCCTTGCTCACTTCAGCATCGCCCATCGACACCGATGTAACCATGATACAACAACAGCGCACGTCGCGCGAGTGAGCCGTGCCTTCCCCTGTCCGACTGCCCCGGGGATCCTCTACGCGTTCCACTGCGACTCCGCCGCCATGCGCGCGCGTACGCGGGGCGGGGAATTTGTACCCCGCGGGTAAGTCAACTGCGCCCGTATCCACGCGACTGTTCACCAGTGAGACATTCAGCCCCCGCTGCCGCTCATAAGCCGTTCTGGAAAACCTTCGATGGCGACGCCCTCCTGCACGCGCGGGCCCAGAGGCGGGGGATCTGTAAACCGCGGGTAAATCCACTCCGCCACAGCGACCGTGACTAGCAGCATTTCCACGGCGGCGACCGCGAGCACCGACACTTGTTTGACGATGGGCAGCTCCAACGTCAAAGCAAACACCGTCGCACAAACAAGTGCGGCCAACACCAATACTATGGTAGCAGCGGGCAACGCACCCTCCACAACGGTCAATGGCAGCAACCCAGACCTGCTCGAGACGACCGCAGACATCACCGCCATACCGAATGCGGACGACTGCGCCACCATGTCGCCTGCAAACAACAGCGTCGCCACCACGACCGTGAGCGGCAACAATGCCACACATACGGCCACAACCGCGCCTACTACGAACACCACCACGCCGACCAGCACACCGACGTTCATAACTGCGACCAACAGCGCCATCACGACACCTCTTGCGGCCTGCACCGCCGCCGCAGTGGAAGACAATAGCAAGCCCACAGCGAGCGGCACGAGCGCGACAAACTGTAGCACCACAAGGGCGGCAGCCAACAGCAACACGACGGTTACAATTCGGACTAGCGCGACTGCGGACGGAAGCCTCACCACCACGACAATCACAATTGCGACTACCGCAAACGATGGCACAACGTCGACAGCAAGCGGTCCCACCACCGCCAGAACAACGGCCAACAGCACCACCACATCCAGCAACACGAATGCGATAAGCACTCCCACGGCGACGACGACCGTCGAAACACGGTGTGCGATTCAGGATCCATTGATACAGGCACACCTTAGCAGACAAGAGCACCTGCCAGTGACAACGACAAGGCGTTCTGAACGGGAAGCCGTCGCCAGGGCACTGGCACCCACCACCACAACAGCATCCCGAGATAGAGCCTGAAGGAACACCGCGCCTGGGATCACCACCACCATCACAACAGCACGAGACAACAACGTCATCACCGCACCCGCGGCGGCGACCAGCAGCGCCACCCTGAAGGCCAGCAAAGAACCCGCGGCCACGAATACGACACACGGCAACCGAATTCGAACGAGCACCCCGTGTGCGACTGGTGGCGCTCCCGCCAAGGCGACCGCGAACGCTATCTCCACCACAACGATGGCAGGCGCACGCGGCACCAATGAGACCGCTTCGATTGTGACCATAAGCGCCGCCCGCACGACGGCGCGACCCCGCTGCCCCACCACCACGCCAGCGGCAGCCAACGACTCCGCGCCAAGAAACGCCGGCACGAGCACTACACCCAACACCCGAAAGACATCCCGCAACGCCACCACGACAAAGCCAAACAGCAACGCCATTCACATGACGGCTCACAGCGGCAGCACCACAAACGCCACGACCACCGTCACCGGACGCTCCACCACGACGGCGGAGACTCCCGGTAACACCATCACCGCAACAACGCCCAGAAGCACCAACTGACAACCAACTTCGAACAAATAACCCCTTTCGGGGACGCCCCGGAGGGCACGGGTTATACCCGCTAAGTGCCAATCGGCACCTCGACTTTACGGCAAGTCGGCAGCCCACGACTTCACGGGAAGTCGGCACCCCACGACTGATGCGGACAGTCGGCACCCCACGACTTTCACGGTAAGTCGGCAACCGTTCCGCCATGGCTTCCACCGGCGTTCGCGCCCTCGGTCCAGGGCAAGGTCCCGACAGAAGCAGCGAGCAGCCACTGGTGGCTTGAGAGCGCGCGGTCGGGAAGTACACTGTTCCCCACTCCTCCTCCATCTCCTCCGCATGATGTCCAACGCTACGTAACCTCAGCGTGCCCACCCGCGCCCTCGAAACCTGCCGCTAGACACCGTATCCCACCCAACTCTTGGAGCCAAGTCCAACCACGGCGACGAAGTCCCCCCGCCGGCGCCAACTGGATAGCTCCGACACACTGGGGGGGGCCCAGGTCTGGCGCGACATCTCCAGGAAGAGAATCCGAGCCGACTCATGGATGAACACCAGTCCTACCAATTCGCCGGCCGACGGGCCAGAGGCGTGCTAAGATCTCCGGTAACTGCTTTACAATATTTCTACTTCGCGCGCGCGGAGCGGCCCCTGGGGATCCCCTGAGGAAAAATACCCCGGGCGATCCCCGGCAGACTCGGATCAGAGATGGTTTTCCTCCTGGGAGCCGCCCTCGAGGCCCCCCAGAGAGCCCCAAGAAGGACCAAGAGGCCCCCAAGAGGCCCCCACGATGGTACACGAGGGGTCCGAGATGCCACAAGATCGCTCCAAGACGCCCAAGATGGCCCCCAGACGGCCGAAGAGGCCTCCAAGAGCACTCCCAAGAGGGCCCCAAAAAGCAAAATTCACTGCTTTCCCTTAAGTTTTGGACAGATTTTGGTGTTTCTACCTTTTCGGCTTCCCGACGCCCCAAGACGGCCCAAGAGGCCCCCAAGACCGCCCCAAGAGGGCCCAAGAGGCCCCCAAAAAGGCTCTAAGACGGCCCAAGAGGGCTCCAAGACGGCCCAAGAGGCCTCCAAGACGGCCCAAGAGGGCCCCAAGAACGCCCCAAGAGGAGCCCCAGGGGGGGGAACACGAAACAACAGTTCGAACCCTCAGCCCTCAGAAGCCCGCAGGAGGTACCAAGAGGCTCTTCAGAGGCCCCACGAGGCCCCCCAGAGGCCCTCAGGAGGCCCCCCAGAGGCCCCCAAGCGGCCCCAGGAGGCCCCCCAATCCCCCCCGCGACAGGGCCCCCCAAACGGCGCCCGTGCGCGACGGCCCGCCCAACAGCACCCGAACACAGTTCAAGGTTACCACCTGAATCTTTCCCGCAGCTTGCAAAGAAGCCGTGATAACGACCACGCGGAAAAAAAGGGGTCGGCGGATGTGGCGTAAGCCTATAGAATCGATACAATCATCAAAAGTGCCGTCGCAGCACGACTGTCTGCGAGATCGGTCTGGACTTCCTGCAGCAGCGGGCATTCCTTCACCTTGTATGCTCCCCAGCCAAGCCCGATGTAGTAGACAATCTCCGAAGCGCGCACCAACGTCACGGCCATGGTCAATTCATCCTTCACCAATATCAGCCGTGCCGAACGGGACAGTGTCGCCACGCCAACGAGTCCCAACGCCGCTGGGCCAGGCAAGAACCGATTGGGGTGTTGCGACCCGACTAGATCGTCTGCCCCCCGCGGGCGAACAGCTCCGTAGAGCATGCCAAGCAGAGCCCCTGAGCATGCCACGCTATCCACCCAGTCCAAAATTCTTGCCATTCCATCACGGCTCGTCCACGAGAACTTCCGAACGACGAGGGTGTACGGCTGGGAGCCTGTTGCCGCGCGACCGTAGATCCCTTCGTTAAACTTGTCGCCATTGATGCTCACAGGGGTATCTCCGACCTGCACCCCCGCTTTCTCGGCCTGGCTCCCTTTCTCCACCTTCGTAACCGTCCACTCAATGTTGTGGCCAATCCCAGTCTTCCCGGGCTTTAGATTCACGGCGAGCTCCCTGGCCTTAGCGCAACTTGAAACTGTGCAAACATACATTTTCGAGGGCCCGCGTGGCTTCATTGGATCAGCGCTGGGTACCCCCTGGCGGTGCCTCCGACGCCGCCACTGGCGCGCTCTGCGCTCCAGCGCCGATCCAAGAAGTCCGCGCGGACCTCCGAGAACTTCGCGCGCGAGGTGACACAACGGCTGCTCTCCCGCCTGGCCCAACTCCGCGCAACACCGGCCCCCGGACCCCATCCTGGCCCGTTTCTTGAAGCGAATCCAGCCGTGGCGACGAGAAGCCTGGCCCAAAAAAGACGAAATACGCCAGGGAGGGCCTCCCCTGTCCCCTGTCCCCCTTGTCATCGAGTCCTCCAGCTTGGGCGCGTCCTTCGCCTCCTCGCCCTGCTGCTGGGGGTCGAGCTTGGCGGCCCGCTTGGAGGGAACGCCGGCGTGCAGCGACGTCCACGCGCAAGGCCCTCGCCGACCCAGCCCGCCCACGGGGCGCGCAGGGCCGAAGAAGTCGGCGGCCCTCCGGGCGCTGGCCGCGCTCGGGGCCGCCAGGCTGTCGAGCGCCAGGGTCGGCCTTTGGAGGGAGAGAGGGAGAACGGCAGACGCACAGGCTCTGGGAGCTGCTCGCGGATTCCTTGCATCGGCGCCTGGCCCACGCTACTGGTGCGCGCAGCGCGCCAGAGGCGGCGCCAGAGGCGCCGCCAGCGAGGGTCTCCAGCGCAGATCCAAGGCATCCGCGCGGAGCTTCGAAACGTGATGCGGATGGCGTTCTTCCGGCCTCGCAGCCTGGAGCTGTAGCCTCTGGAGACTGGCGGCGCGGCGTGGGTGTCGTAGCCGTCTGCCGCCGCCCAGAGGAAGTCGCGGAAGCGGCCCGGGGGCATGGCGGGCCCTCCGGGCTGATCCGAGTCGGCGGCCAGGCCTGAGCCGAAGTTGAAAAGGGGACCTCTCGGGCCCTCTTTGGCCGTCTTGTCCGTCGGGTGCGCCGCAGCGGGTGGCCAGCGCAACGCAGCATGGCCCGAGGGATGTGCGCGGACGAGGGGGGCGCCAGGGGGCGTGTTGAATGAGGAGCACTGTGAGGAGTAGTTGCGAGAATAGCAAGCATAATAATAAGTAAGGGCCATGACCTCGTGGAGGTTGCATGGCCCCAGCCATGATATTCCCCCTTGGTCCTCATCCCCCTCCGACGCCCGCGACTTCCCTCTGCTTCTTCTCCTGCTTCCGGGTCACGCGACATGTCCACCCTGCCAGGCGTGCCACCCCCATCTGGAGCGGGCAGTCGGGTCTCCACCCTGTGGGATGCTCGCCTCGCTGCCAGGAGGACGAGGAGGAGGAGGAGGCTTTCACGACGGATGATGAATGATCGGCGAGGAGGGGAGGGAGGACTCTGAGGACTCTGATGAGGCGGACGGGGCTGCAACCCTCTACACGCTGCCAAATGAGGACAATCAACCGACGCTCTTCTGCTGATCCCAAACAGTACCAGTGCCGTCAAGCAAAGAACATCCGCAACAACAGGACGACGGGGAGAACGAGGCGGATGCATCGGCGGAGAATCAGGGAGCAATGATGATGAGGACGAGAAAGGAAACAATGATCACACGAATGTGGCTGAGGAGCATGGAGGACGGGGGGGAGCAGGAGGAGGATGACGCCGAGCAGGAATGGAACATGGCACTCATAAGGAGATGTGAGGAGAAGGACAAGGAGGAACATCAGGTGGATTATGGAAATGATGCGGATGAAGATGAGAAGAGACGTGGAGGGATACTATGCATGAAAACGACGCGCGCGCCTGAAGGACGAAAGGGTCGTCCCCAGTCTTCTGCTGCACCATGCGGTAGTCGTGATAGAGCGCCTTGAGTAGCCCCAGACGTCTGAGCAAAAGATTTTACACCTGCGGGCACCGGAATACACAAGAAACGGAAATGCAGACGGACGAGGCGGAGGACGACGAGGACGCAGACGAACACGAGAAGGACGTGGACCATTCTGGGGAGACAGGCAAGTAGCATGATGAAGATGAGGAGGCGGATTGCGACGATACTATGTCGGCCACTGAGGACAATGATGCTAGTGATGGTGCTGGTGATGATGACGATGCTGATGCTGATGCTGATGCTGATGATGCTGCTGATGATGATCACGACGTCGAGGAGGAGGAGGAGGACGAAGAGGAGGCAGGAGAAGTAGCATTCTGACAAGGAGGAAAGAAGGGCAACGGGCGAGGATTGGTTGCTTCTTGTACTGTTTCGCTAAGAAGAGATTGTAGGTGGCAGAAAAGAACAGAACAATCCCAAACGAGGGACAAGAAACCCAAACCGCGCGGTGCGACAGCTGGTCTGGCAACTGTTTCGCCTGAGACCCCCCTCAATGTAGGGAACAATCGCGCTCTCGCCTCCATGCCAATTATAAGTTTCCCGACCATCCTGTGGTGTTGGGCCCTCGTTTTGAAGAGACGGTCCCCGGGTTCCTCTCCTCCTCTTCCCCCTCCTCCTCCCTCCTCCCTCTTCCAGTTCTCCTCTCCTCTCCTCCTCCTCCTCCTCCTCCTCCTCCTCCTCCTTCTCCTCCTCCCACTCCTCCCTCCTCCTCCCTCCTCCCCTTTCTTCCTGCGTTTCATCCACCCGATACAACGTTTCGTGGCCCCATACTAGGGAGCCCCACCTACGGTCCCAGTGCTACGGTCCGCATGCGTCCTGCACACCCAGTACAGCGTGACGTGGCCCTCCCTCCAATACAGCGTTTCGTGGCCCCATAGGGAGCCGCACCGAAGGTCCCAGTGCTACCGTCCGCAAGCCAAGCGTCCCGCACACCCAGTACAGCGCTTCGTGGCCCCATAGGGAGCTCCACCGAAGGCCCTAGTGCCCCCGTCCGCATGCGTCCCGAAAGCCCGATTTGGCATTTTCACCCACCCAATGTAGCGTTTCGTGGCCCCATGAGGGGGCCCCACCCAAGGCCCCAGTGCCACCGTCCGTATACGTCCGGGACATGTAATTTGGCATTTTCACCCGCGCAGTGCAGCGTTTCGTGGCCCCATAAGGGGGCTCCTCCGAAGCCCCCAATGGGACCGTCCGCATGCGTCCCAAAAAACCCAATTTGGCATTTTCACTCACTCAGTAGAGCGCTTCGTGGCCCCATAGGGAGCTCCACCGAAGCCCTCAGTGGGACCGTCCGCATGCGTCCCGGAACCCCAATCCGGCACACCACCCACACAGTACAGCGTTCCCCCCCGCCCAGTGCAGCGCTTCATGGCCCATAGGGAGCTTCACCGAAGCAGATATTCACAATTGCGGCACCCACAACTGAATATGGTTGGGACCTTCGCCAGAATACTTTGTTTTGGACGGCAATGGCCGCTGGTAAAATTTACCCGAGGCCTACCCAAGCCCTTCTCCACGCGAGGCGCATGTTTGCATGAACGATATATATGTGTATATATATATGTGTATATATATATATATATATAAATATATATATCTATATATATATATGTATATATATGTATATACATATATATATATATGTATATATATGTACATGTATATCTATATATATACATATAACATACATACATATACCCGTCTACGAGGCCTGAGGGCCCAGGGCCGGGACCTCGACAGCGAGCGCATGGGAGGAACGGGGGGGCCAGAGGTGCAGAGAGCCCCTTTGCGCCCCCGATTGGACAGAAACTCACCTGCAGACGCACATGATCGCCTCCAGATGGCCCATTACGCTCCCATGGCGCTCCACGAATGCTTCCACGAATGCTTCCAGACGGCCCCAAACGCCACCCAGACGCTCAAAGAGGATTCCAAGACGCCTCCCACGAGGGCGGCAAGAGGCAACATCCATTGGTTTTCCAAGGGTTTTCGAAGGTTTCTTGGGGCTCCGCCTTTCCAGCGTGCCGCCGCTCCACAACAGCGCCAGAGGCACAAAAGCTCGTCCCGAGGCGGCTTCAAAGGCCCGCACGAAGGCGTCCACACTGCCCGAGAGGCCATAGAGACGCCCCAAGAGACATCCAGGAAAGCCCAGACAGGCAACGTACTCCTTACAAAATCAATCCCACACGCTCGTCACGCCCCCCGGGGGGGCTCACAACGATCCCATGGCGCTCCGCGAAAGCTTCAAGACAGCCTACAATGCCCCCAACACGCTCCAAGAGGGTTCCAAGGCGCCCTCGAGGAGGGCCCCAAGAGCCAACAATTGTTTATGTTACACCGCTTTCTGATAGTTTTTCCATGCGTTCCCCTCTTCACCTTGCCGACGCTCCCAGACAGCCCCAGAAATACAAAAGCTCACCCTGAGACCGAACACGAGGCCCCCAGGAGGGCGCCCAGACTTCCCACGACGCAACAAAGACGACCCAAACGACCTTCAGGACAGCTGAACAAGGCCACGAAGCGTTGGTAAATCACTCCCAGGCTCATGCTGGCTCCCACGTGCCAGCCCCCCAGATGGACCACAAAACCTTCAGAACGCTTCCAGACGATTCCCATACGTTGCCCAATAGGGCCCCACGAGGCACAATTTGTGTGCTTTCGATGGGTTTTCGACGGTGATCTGTGCTTCCCCTTGTCGCCAAAAGTCACGTCATCACGGCTTATGAGGTCGGGCGCCCACACTGCCCAAGAGACCCCAACGACGCACGCCCCAAGAGTCCTCCGGGATTATCCAAAGAATGTTTTGGATTTCTCAAGAACCTCTCCCACAACAGCCTCAGATGCCCCGGAGCGCGCCCCAACACGGCTCCACGTACATACATGTACATACATACATGCGTCCATACCTGCCTACCGACCTACCCAATTACGTACATGCATACATAGACGCATACACATACACATACACATACACCTACACCTACACATACACATACACATACACATGCACATGCACATGCACATACACATACACATGCACATGCAAATGCACAAACATATATGTTTTTCCAACACGGACCGGTGGTAATGAAGGTTTATCAATGTAATGCGATCAAGTGCCTTGAAACCCATTCAACATGTCACGGAGTTGGTGCCGAGGGCGAGGAGAAGAAGGAACGACGAAACACTAGCCTGAAAAGGTGCGCCGGCCAACCTGCAATAGGCGAGCCGATCCGCGTCGACGAAATCAGGAAGACGTGGCGGATGAGCAGATTTATACAGCCCCTAAAGCCCAGATGGCCATACATCATAAATCCGCCAACAGAGGAAGGGGACATGAGGAGGAGGAGCAGCAGGAGGGAGGGAAGGCGGGAGGGAGGGAGGAAGACTGCACAAACGGAACCAACACCTGGAGCAGGCTTTCCGCCACTGCTTAGGAGAACGCTCTCCCAACAAAACGTGGCTCGTTTCCCAACGATCGTCCACGCATTACCCGGACCGATGCTGGTGTGAAATCTAAACGCTTCGCGTATCCCCACCATCCCGTAGCCTCGGCTCAAGGCCGCTCTGGCTCGAACTGGCCTCAGCGGCTGGCCGGCCGTGGCCGGGGGCCTGCCCTTCGGTCCTCGGCCTCCCCGCCCGCGGGGGCGTGCGAGGGGTTCGCCCCCCTCCGCGCCCCCGCTCGCTCGGCCATGGAGTCGCGCTCGGCGCGGCGGCGGCGGCAGCGGCACGCCGCCGCCTGCCGCGCCGCCGCCGCGGCCGGCCCGGCCGGCCTGCCGCCGCCGCGGCCCGGCGTGGCCCCTGGCTTCGGCGTGGCCGGCGGCGCCGCCGCCGCGGCCGCCGCCGCCGCAGCGGCCGCCGCGGCTGTGGCGGCCGGCCGGCGAGACCGCCGCGGCCGCCGGCGCTGTGGCGCGCGCCGCGGCTCTGGGGCCTGCCGCGGCGGCAGCGGCCGCCGCGGGTGCGGCGGCCGCCGCCGTGGCCGCCGCGGCCGCTGGTGCCGCCGCTCCCGCTGCAGCTGGTGTCGCGGCCGCCGCTGCCGCCGCCGCCGC